TCTACTCTCTTATTTCACTCCCTCCCCATTACAAATTCTTACTTTTTTTATGTTCTACTCCTCCACTTGTGTGCTCTTTGGGACGAGTTTAGCAACGCAATCAAACCTGCTCTTTAACTTGAACTTTCTCCGTTTCCATTTTATGGTGCGACTTGGGCCTTTCTCATGAAACTATAGATCCGCTTCTTATCTTTCACTCGGTTTCAGTCCAAGTATAAGTTTCACTTCATGCGCTGTTTCTCAAGCCTTTAGTAGCACGTACGATTTCGCCTGACTGAACAAAGCGCGAAGGCTCTTATTTCTATGTTTGCAGATTTGAGGCATTGTCTATACAGCTCATCTCCCCGATTGAACCAATTTAATCTGAAACAAATGTGAAGTCTTTCTCTGGTCGCCTGGTGCCTCTAGAGTAGATTTCTTATGAATCTGGCCAAAATGATGAATTTCTATGGACGCTGTGATTATCATTCTCTCTATTTATGTGCTTGCTAACCCCACAAATTTATAGTTGTTTATCGAGAAGATTTCCCCCCCTGAGAACTTTTACACTTTAGTTCAGATTCTTCATCACTTAATTTTTTCCTTGCTCTGCCTTTTCCCCTGATTAACTATAGATACTTGACTCAAGTGTCTCTTCTTTGTTGATCTTTCCGCATACTTATTTTTTTTCTGTCTGCTTAATTAATAGGCAAAGTTATCGCTAACTCTGGCTTCTTTAGTTAACCTGTTCAATAAATTTATTTTCACAAACATGCCAATGACCTCTCTAAACTTTGGTTATCTTGTGCTTTCATCATATTGTTGTCTCCTAATTATTTCGTATCCAGCTTATGCGATGTGTTCCGCATTTTCTGATTCTTCTGTATCACTTTGCTAAAGAGTCATAGATTTCCTTGATTCGTATGACAATTTTTATCCCTGTTTCTCCAATAACTTTCTGTTTGCAGATGCATAATTCTATTCAGTAAGCGCCCGATCAATTCAAGTTGTCTATCCTCCCAACGTCTAAACTTGTGAAGACTGTTGTTTTTCACATTTTAGTCACTTAAATATGCCATTTTTGTAATATTAGCCGTAAATTTTGAGTTCGTTTATAGGAAAGTAGGCATATCCACATTTATGAGTATTTCTCCTTCCTACCCATCTAACATAATCTTCGTTCTGCCATAGGCTTTCACTACCACTATGTTTCTTTCTTTTATTTTGCTAGGGTAGCCTTTGCTAATAAATATCTGAGTCAATTTTTTAATTATTGATCCCTGAATTCCATGTCCGTTAATCGTAAGCTTCTGAAGATTATGCTACTCTTTATTCCGAACATTATTTGTGGTTGCAATTGGACTTGAAATTGAGTATTTGTCCGGTATATGACTTCTTTCTGAACACTGTCCTCTTACGCGTCCAATTCAAGTGAATTAATACAACATCTAGCATGGTTAACCACTTTTCTTTCTTGACTTCGACTGTGAATTTGGTTCTTTCATTAATCTACATTATAAAATAAGAAAAATATTTCAGTTTTTCTTTTTTATGCGATCAAGGTTCAAAGAAGTTATTCAGGTATCACGTGAGCACTTTGGTTGCTGTGGCGACATTTTGAAACTCTCTTCTGATATCTTAATGTATACGTTTGCCAAAAGAGATGAAAGCGGTGATCCCATAATAAGTCAAAATACTTGTTCACAGATATTCCTGCTGAAGTTGAAATAGGTAGTCCATAATATCAAAATAATTTATTATGTAAACGATTCCCTCTTGGTCCTTTTCACTACCAGGATACCATATTCTCAGTTCAAGAGTGCCAGCAGTGCCGTTTGCGCCTTTTTTCTATGGATTTTTTTACTTAGATTCTTACTTAATACTTACAAATATTTATGTTTTGCTCAGTGCCATATATTTATTTATTTATTTATTTGAGAAAATTCACATGAATCTTTTGTTCTGATTTATAACCT